TTCCATCTCAGGCTCCACTCCCAGGGCTGCTAAGCTCCGATCACATCTGACAACCACCCAAACTGAGACCTCCCGGCCATGCCTCAACTGGCTAATCCTGCGCCTTTAAGTGCCAGCATCTCCACTTCCTATCCAGCTCCCTGCCTGTGGTCTGAGAAAGCAGTCGAGGACAGCCCAGAGCATTGGGATCCTGCACCGGGGTGGGAGACCTGGAAGAAGCTCCTGGCTCCTGATATCAGATCGGTTCATCTGGGGCATGAACCCTGGATCGCCATAGCCACTTGGGGAGTGAACCAGTGCATGGAAAACCTGTCTTTCCTCTCTGCAAATTTATCTTTCCAATAAAAGCAAATAATTTTGTTTTAAAGCGTCCGAATCACGTGAGTGCGGCGACACCTGCCGCTCCTCTGCCTGGACGCTCTCCCTACAGCCTGCTGCTTCGAGGACCTCGCAAAGGCCCCGATTCCGAGGCTCCTCCTCTCTGCAAACACAAGCTACGACCCCAAAGTGTTTGCTGCTGTTGCTTTCCTGTCACTGGCTCCATCAAGAGACAGCAACCGATTCTGTCCCCCAGCGCGCAGCGTTTTGTACACAGTAAGTTACATGAACCCTGTTTTTATTATGAATATCAGCAATCGCAAACTCCCGCGTAGCCCTGTGCGCGACAACCTGATGCCTGCGAGCCGCCCGAAAACACCGGGCTGAGGAGGGCGGGAGGCCAGAGGGCAGCCACCAACACCTCAGACTCCACGCCACAGGCCCACAGACTGCCGGCGCCTGAGGCAGAACTGTGCACCAGCCCCAAGCCCCACGACCCACCGCGACCAGCGGCGGCCACTCACCCCGTACCGAGCACGCCGGCCCGCACCGCACCGCCAAGAGCCGCCCGCGCCGGCCGGAAGCGCCGCACTTCCGCCTTCCGGGCCGGGCGCACGGCATGCCGGGAGCCGGCGGCCGGGAAGCCGGGCTGGAGCCTCGCGGGGAAGCGAGTCGCTTGGGGTGGATTGCCTGTGGTGTGCGGGCGAGGCTCGGGCCGCCCGCGGGTCCGCCTCTCGGACGAGGCGCGGTAGCTCTGGGACTCCAACCCTGGGCGCTCACCAGAGGACCGTGTCTGTCAGGTAGGGGGGTCTGAAGCCCAGGGTCTCAGGATTCTGAAGGATTATTTTAGATTACGTCATCCCAGAGCACACGTCCCTTCACAGGGCGTGTCCAGATGAACCCGTAGATTTTCCCAATCCCGAGTGATATACACAAACTTGACAGAACGCATCAAATTACACTTTTAAGTACATGCGGTTTAAAATGGTCAGTTATATTCCAAAGCTCTTGCCAAAGTTGAAAACAAATTCCCCATACCAAATAAGAGTTTTAGAGGGTACAATAATCAAATCGTTTCGGACCAACCAGGGTTTACCTGTCTGGTCGCTTCCGCTCCAGCCTTAGGACTAAACGTAGGCTCCCGCCTAGGTCCGCAGCAGCAGCTGCCTCCCGGGTTCACTTCCAGTAGCAAAGGCCTTGGAACCAGGCTGAATTCTCGGCTTAAGCACTTGTGACTAATGCAGATGGAGTGATTGTCTTAGATTTCCTCCCTAAAGTGAAAACAGTGCAGTCTAATTGATGGCACATAGGTAATAAAATCTCAACAAATGATAATCTTCCCTCCCCCCTAACTCCTTATGGTGTTAAATATGTGGCTGCACAGTATTGTTCTCAGTGATGGCCTGGTTCATCCCTAGGTTTACTCGCTGCTGGGAAGGCGGAGTTCCTGCTCAGTTTTCTAACTCGCTTACGGAACTGCAGTGAGTGGAAAGAACCGAATTTAAATTGCAGCAAGGTTTGGTTTTGTTTTTGTTTTAACAAAGACTAAAAAAACTTACAATGTCTTAAGAAAAAAGAAACATGTCCTAAAAAAAACAAGTTTCTTTGGGAGAGGAGGTACTCATGGAGCAATTGAATTTTTTCTTTTATATGTATTCATCTAAAAGGCAAAGTTAGAGAGGGAGAGATCTTGCATCCACTGGTTCCGTCCCCAAATGACTGTAGCGGTCAGGTTGAGGTCAGGCTGATACCCGTAGCCCTGAACTCCTTCTGGGTCTTCCAGGCTGGTGGCCGAGGCCGAGCACCTGGGCTGTCTGCCCTACACCCCCCCTGGCACATTAGCAGGGAACTGGATCAGAAGAGGAGCAGCAGGGTATGGAACAGGGCTCACATGATATGCCAGTGCACAACTTAACCCACTGCGCTGCAAAGCCAATCACAGATACACCTAGCCTTTCAAATTATAATTTAGCCACCTTTCCAAAGATCCTTTCAAATGACAATTTAGCCACCTTTCCAAAGATATACTGTAGATGCTTTATATTAAATAAGAGAAAGCTGACATTCAGATAGCTCAAATTGACTACATCCTGCTTACTATACCCGGCCAGCCCCTCCTCCTCACCACCCCCCACTTTTTGAAAAGTGTATTTATTTGAAAGTCACAGTTAGAGAAGGAGAGAGATCTTGCATCCTCTGGTCCATTATTTAGATGGTCAGAACAGCCGGGTATAAGCAGGCAGAAGCCAGGAGCTTCAACTAGGACTCCACATGGTATCTCACTCAACAAAAAAGAGGCATTTGGGCCATCTTTCTTACTTTCAGACACGTCAGCATGGATCTGGATTGGAAGTGGAACAGCTGGGGATTGAGCCAACTAGTGCCAATATGGGATGCTGGCATCAGTAGCTATGCCAAAACACTGAGATTAAGGTCAAGACTTTATGTAGAAATTTGGCCTGAGAAAAAGGAACCTGTTACGAAAATGTTGCGGTGTTAAAATATGTCATAATTTAACATTACCAAAGCTAAAATGTGGACTGCATTTAAAAAAAAAAAAACTGCTTCACTTATATTTCTTACCAGTAGGTAAAAAAGAAAATTAATATACTACTATAATTAAGGAAAATTAAGGCCATTTGGGTAGCCGCTCTAATTTCAGGGAAGGAAGACTATATGAAGACACTGCAAGATAGTGTAGGAAAGAGGTCTCGGAATAGACCACTGCCAGTTATTTGGTGTTGGATCTTTAGTCTCCAAAACTGTGAGACAAATCAATTTCTGTCCTGCTTGGTTATAGCAGCCCTCCAATACAGTAGACAGCTCAGTAATAACCTGGGGGTATACATCGTAAGACCTCCCATGGATGACATAAATTGAAGACAGTACAAAATCCTACTTACACTCTGTCTTTACTGAACATATATACATACTTATAATAAAATTTCATTTATAAATTAAGGAGCTGATGTGGTACAATGTATTACGCTACCTTCAACCTTCCACATGGATGCCAGCTCCATACCTGGCTACTCCCATTTAGTCCAATGCCCTACTAATGGCTTGGGAAAAGTAGCAGCAACTGGCTCAAGTGTTCGAGACCTTGCACCCATGTGGGAGTCCTAGCATTGGCCTGGCCCAGTCCTAGCCATTTGGTCATCTGAAGAGCCAATCAGAGGGTTCTAACTTTTAAATGAATCTTGGAAAATGTATAAATGAGGTACAGTATGGGAACAACAAAAACAATATACTGTAACATGACTGTTGTACTCACCCCTCTTATACAGTGAAAGCAGGAGTGAGATGAATGACTTTGGCATTATGACAGGGAGTTAGGCGACTACTGGTCCTCTGAGGACACATCACAGGAGGGTCATCTACTCCAGGTGCTCCTGGATCACGAAGCCATTTGCTGCATCTGTAACTTGTATTCTAACATATATACATTGGATCAAGGGATGATGTGTCCCAGACATGACAGAAAGAATAATGCAGGATTTCACTCCTATAATGACTTACAACTTAAAACATATGAACTATTTATGGAACTTTCCACTTAAATATTTTCAGAACATAATTGCCTGAGGGTAACTGAAATTGAGGAAATTGAAATCATAGATAAAGGGAGAATACTGTACAATGAGAAAATTTGCTAATGTTTCATTGTTCACTGGTATACAAACCTAATATGCTGTGTAGGCCAACACAAAACCACAAGGCACCATTTTCCAAATGCTTTTATTTTGAATTATGTAAACCTAATAAAAGATGAACCTGTGTCTTTAGGGTCTTCTAACAACATAATCTAATTTTTAAATGACACTTATACATTAAATATTAATTGGTTTAAATCATAATACATCATTTTACAATTAAATGTCATTAACATTTAATACAATTTTAATATTGAAATATTTAAATCATAATATTTTACAATTAAATGCCATTATCATTTAATATGATTTTAATATAATATTAAATACCTATGGAATTTATTTTACATTTTTTACTTCTAAAAGATATTTATACTTTTAATGGCAAAGACAATAATACTTTATAATCAAAAGCATATTAGAATCAAAAACACATTAATATAGGGAACACTGAGCTAAAATGATCAAAAACTAGTTTATATTTTAATCTAATTGTTAATAAAATTACTTTTGAATTTCAAATGAATACCTTTATATGCTAGTCTGAGATTTAAAAAATTTAAATACAATGTTGGTATTTTTTAAGGTGTATTTTTATTTAAAAGAAAGAGGGAGAGGGACTGAGGACAAGAGGGCAAGAGAGAGAACTTTAATAATCCACTAATTCCCTCCCCAAATGGCCATAATGGCTGGGACTGTGCCAGGCCGAAGCAAGGAACCCAGAGCTTCTTCTGAGTTTCCCATGTGGGTAAAGGACCCCCAAGCACTGGAGTCATCTTCCACTGCTTTCCAACATTCATTAGCAGGGAGCTGGATTGGAAGTAGAGCAGCCAGGACATGAACTGGTGCCCACATGATATGCTGGCATTGCAAGTGGTGGCTTTTTCCAACATACAACAAGGCCAGCTCCTTTTTTCTTACTTGAGTGCCTAAATCAAGGATTTAGAAGTGAGATACCATAAAGAATAATAAGAGGTTACAGCTAAGAAATACACAGAAACAAATAAAGGATCATGAACGTACATAATATTTAATTATATCTTGAGCTTTATTACATCATGAAACAGTTTTTAGAGATGGCCTTCAGTTACTTTTTGTTAATTGCTTCCAGAAAACGTAGCAGGTGCAGAAACAGATTGATAATATCCAAGTAGAGGCTGATGGCAGCCAACACATACTCTTCTGGTGACAGTTTATGCATCAGTGAGTGGGTGTCGTAGATGATGAAGCCGCAGAAAAGCAGGGCTCCTCCAGCAGCCACGACCAGCTCCACTGTCTCACTGTGAAAGAATGACTGAAGCAAGAGAGTAAAGAAGTACATTTGTATCTAAGAACAGTACTAACAGTACTAAAGTTACTTCCCCCAGTGGTCTGTTACATACACTGTAAATAATGGTGTACAACTTTATACACAGAGGGTAAGAGTACACCAAACCAAGTCAGGTCTAAGCTTGCTTTGGTTGGGTGGACGAATGAATACATTAATGGATGGGTGGTTTCCATTTAATTACTCACTTGACTTTGAACAGTAGCATTCCAAATATAAAGTATTTTAAACTGTATTTCTTTTCAAATTTAAATGTATCACATAGAAGCTGCTATTTGAAAGTGAAGACCTTTGTCTAAATGATGTAACTCACTTATGCATTCATTTTTCTTTCAGTGACCAAAAGTTATCAATATAAGAATTTGATTTTTAAAGCAATGAAGGCAAAAACATTCTGTATATAAATGTTCTAGAAAATTGTAACTAAGTGTTCTATCATAAAAATAACTATTATGGTGTCTGATGCTATTTATATTGACATCACCAGAATTGTTCAAGTTAACCATTTTAAAACAGCTTACCTTCAAGATTCCTACCAAGCATAAAATCCACAAAGCAGCAAACAGCCTATAAAACCAAAATTTTAATAATTTAGAATACATTCTCTTACCATAAACTTTATTATTCATTATCAAACCTTCTAGAATATATATATATGAGAATATATACACAAGAGAAACAATTTCATTTTTAAAATAGTAGCAAGTTATTTGAGTATGTTCTGTTCTTTTAAATAAGCTGATTTTATTTAGCATAGTCAATATGTGAAAATGTATTTTTCCATACTAGCTAATATTATACTGGGAAATTAAATGTATAAAATATAGTGCTTAAAAATGTTGATAGTACCAAAAACCATAAAATACTTATGGGCATATTTAAGCAAATGTGCAAGATTAGTACATAGCAAACAACCAAACCTTACTTCTGAAATTAAATTATATGTATATAATATGTATATTATATATAAATAAAATGTCAGTCTTCCCCACATTTATCTACAGATTTAACATGATCCCAACCAAAACTTCAGCAGGGTTTCTTCTTTGGATAGAAATTGTCAAATAGATTCTAAATTGCATAGGGAAATATCAACAAATTAGAATAGCCAAAACAATTTTGAAAACCAGCACAAAGTTGCAGAACTTATGTGATTTTGAGAATTATTTTAAATCTGTATTAAGAAAGCATGGTATTAGCATGCCAACAGACGTATCTGTTAACTAAGAGTACTTTCTATTTTTATATGCAAAAGAACTTATTTTATGCATGTAAATTTGCTGCTGCCACAATTTTATAAGTTACTATCCAATTTTTACTGTAAAGTATGATTATATTAAAAAGAACATGTAAGAAGTCAGTCCTAGGGGCCAGTGTTGTGGCACAATGGATTAAGTCTCAGCCTGTGATGTGGGCATCCAATCTAGATGCAGGTTCTTTGAGCCCTCGCTAGTCTGCTTCTGATCCAGCTCCCTACTACACTTGGGACAGCAGTGGAGGATGGCCCAATGCTTGGGCCCATGTGTTTATGGGTCCTGGCTTTGGCCTAGTCCAGCCCAGCCATTGTGGCCATCTGGGGTATAAACCAGAGGTTAGAAGAATGATCTCTTGCTGCCTCTCCTTATAACTCATTCAAATATATAAAATAAAGCTTTTTTTAAAAAAGATAAACATTGGTTATTAAATATGAGAGTCAGTGTTCTGCTATCAAATATGAGACATGACCTCACTTAGGAACTTCAGGATACATACGGTAAATGGTTATTTAAATTCAGAGGCATGTTTTATAAGTTTCTGGTAAGAACTTGGGGTTTTCAGTTCATGAAGCTATCTTTTGTAAATATAGTACCAGGTAAAGATTTAAAACTCTAATCTTGCGAATACAGTCTACGTTGTAACTTCTTATTAAACATTTAAAAACAAAAGAGCAAAGTTTCCAAGAATATAGGTAAGACTTAATGAGAAATGCCATGGATATGAGGCTGATTTTATCATTTTTACTCCTCACCATACATGACTGACAAAATAAACTTGATCTTCTTTTATGCCAATAAGAAGCACAAATACTTCACATCAAGTAATTTATAATACAGAATTACAAACTTTAGTATATAACATATGCTATACATAAAATACATGTATGTACATATTAATTGTATTACCAGTAATATACAAGTAAACTGGTCTCTGGGGGAAGGAACACGTCACAGTTTGTAGTAATTCCTGATGTGTTTGATTAAATAATTCCACTAGGCTTATATTTAAACTTCCAACAATTGAATAACTCCAAAAATTCTTGAAAGCGGTGTGAGTCAGCTCCAGAACACCAATAACAAGTTCCCATAGCAACATATGTAGCTGTGACATTTAATTATATGTACGGCAAAATTGTTACAGGATTAATAATGATTTTGAAAAAAAAAAACCATGAGCGCTACAAGTGGGTATATGCAGCACTGCCACCACTGCCTGCTACAGCTGCACGTTCACACATTTAACAACTACTCCTGGAGTTTCCGCCACATCCTATAAGTAGCCAGTAAGTCTTTCTGAAGAAAGTGTTTTGCAATTACTGCTTCTGCTCATTCTTTGTATCCCACATAGGCCTAAGTCTCTACATCTTTTTTAGCTTTTGGCGTTCTTAATAATTAAACATTAAATTCTACTTAAAATAATGTTAAAATGCTACTTTTAAATATCTCAATCTTTGGTGTATTGGTAAATATACAATTATTGTTAAGACTTTTTGTCAGAGAATCATTGCACAGTAATATTCGGTAACTTTAAATGCATTTTAATGGTGAATTGGGACATGCCCAGTGAGCAGTAATGAAGTGTCGATAGGTTTTAATAAAAAGCGCCATGATCAATTTTATATCACCTAGTATTTTCCTAGTGTGTTTCCCAGTATATTTTTCTACCATTTTTCTATTTTACTAGTTTCTAGTATTTTAAAAATTGATTTATTTTTATTTGGAAGGCAGTGTTGCATAGGGAAGGCAAGACCTAAAGAGAGACAGATATTCCATCTCCTGGTTTATTCCCTAAATGCCTGCAGTGGTGGAATGGAGCAGATTTGAAGCCTGGCACCATGAGTTTCTTCTGGGTATACCATACTCAGGGGCCCAAGGACTTGAGCCATGTTCTGCTACATTCCCAGGCTATAAGCAGGGAGCTGGATGGGAAGTGGGGCAGCCAGGACTAGAACTGGTGTCCATATGGGATGACGGCATTGTAGGCAGAACCCACATGCTTCCAGTACTACAGCAAACAAGGTTAAGAACACTTACTACCCATCCCCCAAAAAACTAATCAAATAATGGATTAAAAAGAAACCAAACAATATTTTAGCAGGCAAGATTCACACTAGCACTCTGATACAGGATGACGGCAACAGAAGTCGTAGTTTAACTCACTATACCACATGCCAGCCCAAGAATATCTTCGTAAAACCATCAAATAACTGATAAGTATCAAGTTAAAATATAGGTAAAATCAAACTGAAAATAGTAACATGGCATGGCAGCTGGATTTGTCAAAAGCCTATCACTTAATGTTAGGGCAAGCCATTTATCATCTCCCATCCCCATCCAGGGACCAAGGAAGGACAAGACAAGGAGAGAAGACAATGTCCCTGGGAAGTCGTGATTATAAGCTGTTCTCCAATTTATATTCCAAAATCACAACACCTGGGTGGTTGAGGACCATCCTAGGTCATGTGTTTAGTTTCAAGTGAATGTAATTTAATAGCTTCCCTGGATGCTGGACAGCAGCACACCCAAAAACTCAAAATAAAATGTACTTTCAGCCTTTGTCTCCAAACCTTCAACAAATAATTTTTAAAGTTCAAACTAACCAAACATGCAAGGAAAAAAGTATAAGGATCAGTCATACACAACAGGCACAGATGTAGAGATCTCAGAAATATTCGGATCTATATATAATAACTGCAGGTATCAGTTGTGTAAATAAGTACAAATTTATTATGAAGAGGCTAAACTATAGGAGAGGCTGTTTACCAGGACAGAATTTTGAGAGACATACTGGAATGGATGGTAGGGGAGAGGTTGGAGACTTGGATGAGAAAACAGAGCAGACATTTCATTGTATATATCACACAATTCAACAGGGAGCATGTCAAGAAAAGGGAGAAAAATATCTCCCTGATTCAAACTCCATTCTGATAAAACTAACTAGTACAATACTAATGGTAGTTCGTGTCGGCTGCTCAACCGTATCCCAAGAGAGATTTCTAATCATCTGGGCTCAGGGCCAGGGCGGTGGGGGTGGGGCGAGATAAGAACAAAGTGGGGGGAAATTGGAAAGAGGGGGTTGCAACAGTAAGCTTTCGTCCATGTTTACTCTTCCTTTCCCTTCCCTTTCCTTCCTTCCTCTCCTGCTTCCTACTCTCTTTCTTCATCACTTCCTTTTCACTACACAAGAGAAGCAAATGCCACAAAGCCACTTGCCATCTCCTTGAATCATTTGCAAGTGTAGGGCCCAGAACTAGTATTTAGAGAATAATCTACCCTCTATTTGGAAAAGCAGTACTCCAGGCTAACAGAATAGCACTTCTCTCAAAACCACCTGTAATATTAAAGACATCCATTACATCCAAGGATATAATACTTACCCTGCTCCAAATTTGCTGAAATCTCTCTTGGATTGCAGAGTATATGCAGTTAGACCAAGAAATACTGCGGTAGTCAGTATAAAGGCTTGCAGAATAATATATACATCATAGAAAGTAACTGTAAAATTAAAACATTTGATTAAAATCCATGTACACTGTATAAAACAGCTGATTCTAGCATTATAAACAGAAATGATTTATTTTCTCCTTCACAACATACCAATAAAAATAATTATAAAGAGTCCTTACCTAGCCTTGAATATGTGTAATTGAGTAAAACCATATCCATAATGCAATATACAAGCTCCAAAAATTCATTCACACAAAATAACATCTATTATTACAAATGTTAGTGAGATGATTAGTGGTAGCTAGTTAGGAGTGTTCGGGCTCTGGGAGTGACTCTCATTCATTTTTACCTCAACTATAGTTTATCATCATCCATGGGGATTGTTCATTGCAGATTATCATTCTGGGTATTGTAGCTGACTGACAATTCCTGGAGAATAGCACCAATTCTAGCAATTACATGGTAGGCTGCACTCAATTCTTCAGCCCAATCCAAGGCAATTGGGCAAAAATATTGGGGCTGACAGGAATCTCACATGCTATTACAGAGAACTGAAACAAAGCCATGGGCTTTGCTGGATGTGTAGCAAGTTCCCTTCTGTAACTTTAGAATGATCACCAGATTGACCATAACTATTAATGTGAAGCTTCTTAACATTTTAATAGCTTGCTAAATTTTAACCTATTTAAAGGAGGTCCAGTAAGTAGTTTTTATTTTTCCAGGAATTAATTATCCATATTACTTTTATTCCTAAATGCTACAGGTTGGATTTTTCCATTTATGCCATTGCAGGATTAAACACATAAAAGATAAACGCAGAAAATATAAAAGAACTTATTTTTGCTTCCAGATGGAAAAGATCATATAACTAACGTTCTAAGATCACTTCACTCATGAATTTCTAGCTATAGTTCTAACAGTCTTACAATGCATCTCTTCTACATCCCTTACAAGTGGTGCTGATGATGATGTGGGGAGTTGGCGAGCGGTGAGATAGACTTGATAACATTAACAGGAACATTAATAAATTATTCTTATACTAAGTAAAGAGTATTGCTTCCTGTCTATGTTTAAAAGCTTTAATCCTGCCTGTTTCAGTATTTAAAAAAAAAAAAAGGTAAAGATTCAACAAAATAGGGGTACATATTTAAGATTTTTAAAATGCACAGAATAGTTACAAACTGACAAAACAGGAAAGGATAATTATATTAGCTACACAGGTGAACATTTAGTAGCCACAGTTAACCATTTTAAAACAGAATTTTTATTGTTAGTTTCTTGAACTTTCTTACTTGAGGCATTACATAAAGCACATCAAGCAACAACAGATCCTTGGCCTTCAAATATATCTTTAGAATGAAACACAAAAAGAAATTATTACTTCTGTCATACCATTTGGTAGTAGGAGACAGTATTAAAACATGATTCAATGAGGGTGATTTTAGAGGAGCTAAGCTATGTGATGAAAGTTCATGGCTCAAAACACAGTTTGACATGTTAAGCCCCAATGTTTTTTTACCAAAAAGATTTTCCCATTGTTTCAACACAAAGAAATACAATGATGGCTTACCAACAACGCCCACAGTCAGAGCTTCCAACAGTGTCTAAAAAACACAGTATGAAATTAATGCGTGTAAAACACTAGCTTATATACCTTTTCTAATTTTTAGCAGTTCAATGTGATCCCTAATATATAATCTCCTTTTAGATTAAAAACAACCGTATGAAGTATATGAGACAGTTACCAAGCTCACCAAATAGAAAATAAGACCTCATTGTATTGGGCAAGAATATGTGGATCCTGTGACTCTATGAGTCTTTAAGACCTAATCAGATTTGTGGCAGGAAGACTATGGAATAATATAAAAAATGTCTCCTCACTCATTTTATAAATCATGTACACATTTAGAAAAAAATCAATATCTCATACAAATATAGGAAGAATGAAATATTTAGGTGGTACACTGATGTGATGGAGTCTTAAAATTGTCTCCCAACGTTCAATCTATCTTCTGCAGTAATAGAACTTTCAGCTGACCACCTGGCTATTAAGATTAAATGTTATGTTTTTTTAGACTCTCTTGTAACTAGGTCTGATCATTTGACTATACTGAGCTAATGGAAGGTGAGTAGAACGGAATATACCTTCCAGACAATGCTGCACAAGCAAAAAGCTTGCCCTTTTTCTCCTCTAACTGGCTGCTGTGTGAACATAATGCTGGGCTGTGTCACACTGTGGCATACTTTAGGAATGCCTAAACCATACAGAAGCCTGTGCCCTTGACAATTTCACTAGTCAGTCAAAATTTCATAGAAAAGAGAAACTATCTTGTTTAGCCTGTCCTTATAGCCATGTTACAAATAGCAGAATCTATATTTGAATATTTGAAGACATTGAGCCTTGTCCTGTTTGTTCTCTTAATAACATTATCTTTATTTTGTCTAATATGCCTACTTTAGTTGGATTTTATCAACCATTTGATAGACTGTAGGACAAAAATAAAGCCAGAAGAAAGAACAGTAGCTGCATAGTCACACGCCCAGGAGAAGCATTTCCGGTACCCCATTCTACTTGAAATCAAGAAATTACCAGAATTAGAGCAAAGTGATATGAATGTTTTAATGGGTTGGTAGAGATAATAGAAATGTATTTCAATACATTATTTATTTTACTTGAAGGGCAGAGAGAGCAAGAGAATCAACCTGCCATCTGCTGGTTTACTTCCCAAATGCCCACAACAGCCAGGGCTTGGTCAACAGAAACTGGGAACCCAGAGCTCCACCCAGATAGCCCAGGGAGCATTTCCTGCACTGCTTCTGAGGACAGGCAAAATTGATGACCTCGGTGTGCTTTAAAACATTTTTTTTTTGCTACATTCACCATACCTAAAAAAACAAACCTACATGCCTCAACATGGTAGAAACACTGCTTAGAAACAAAAGCAAAAACAAACCTGGCACTCTGATATAGAACTGCCATGACAAGCAGTAGCCTACGACACTCACCCCAACAGACACAGGCAACATGTTTATACAGTTCTTGATATTTGTAATATGATTAAAGAAACCCTGTGCTAGTCAGATTCTTTCTTACTCAGGGATTTGAACTCAAAGAATGAAATAATGACAGAGAAAGTTAAAGCTAAAAGGGAAATGAACTCAAAGTACTTTGGAGCCTACAATGTACCTCATTAAAATTAAAAGATGGAAAAAGGAAAACAATACATAAGGACAGGAGTGAGGCAGGGAAGAGGGATAACAGAATAAGGGAAAGCGAGATCACAGATTCCTGCCTCTGCATATCCTACAGCAGCATCTTTTCCAGAACCTTCCTGCTGTTCCTCTTCTTGAAGCCAGTTGAGTTTGAGGATGGTCTCTTTAAAAAACTCCCATTATTTGAAATAAATTAGTATTTATAAATAAATATTAGTATTACTAACTTTATAAGCAAAAGAACTTACAATTTAGTTGAATAATTCATCTTTACAGTAGTTGAAACTTTCAAAGTTTCAACTTTGAGCTTTTCTTTCCTAAAGCCAAAAAAGCTCATTATCAGAATCCACCAACTTTGCTTAACTCTGGTCATGTTAACATTTCAGTCTGATCAACAGCTTTTTTGCTTATTTGACTGCAGATATTCTTATCAGTTTCAAATGTTTTGAAGTAAAATTTTAGGTCAGTACCCAAAGTCATAATGGATATAGGAAGAAAAAACTAATTTAAAAAAAATACATAGCTATGCTGGTCATATTCTAAGACTGTGTTTTTAGAGGTGGTAGTTTAGATTTTAACAGATAAAAATTAGAGAAGTACTTCACAAGGGTTATCTGTTTTTGCATCATTTTACATATGAGAAAACTTAGGTACAGAAAGGCTAAATGCCTTGTCAGATGTCACAGAATCAGAGCCAGGTCACTAATTCTACTTCAATGTTTTTTGTACTATATCCTAATATTAAACTAATACCTTTAAAGCTAGCAAGCAAGTTAAAATTCTAAAGACTACAAAATTACAAGTGATTTCCCAAAATACTCATAAAAACCTCTTAATGTTGCTGTCATTCAATCAAATATGCACTCAGTTAAATAAATATATTTAATATTCAGATTAGGCATTGTCGAAGTACTCACAAATCCAAAAAGAAGATACAGGTTCAGGGGATGCTTGTGTCTGTTTAAAATCAATGCAAATATCATGCCCAGAGATCCAAGAGCAGACACCAAAATTATGGCAGGACTGAAAGACATAACAGTAAAAGTATTTCAAGTTTAAAAAATACCATGAATCATATAAAACTTGTTTATTCTATTTGTTAATTAAAAGTACAAAGGAAAAAACGAGGCTGATTCACACCAAACTGTCAAAAGAGATTACACTGATACCTAGAGAATGTGCATGGTGTGACGTAGCAGCAGGACAGAGCAGAAGCACAGAGTAATGAGCAAAGACTTCCTTTTGACTTCTGAACTTCTACCAGTTTGAATAATGTTTATAATTAGCATACTACAGTTATTAGCATACTATTTTTGTAACTAAAGTACAATTCAGAAATTAGGTAATGAATGTTAAATTTAACATTTTTAGAGCATTTAGTACAAATAGCAAACTGTCAATTTAAGATTCTCCTTTGGATGGGAGGAGCAAGAAGAGAAATTCTCTATGTCTAACAAAATATTCATTCTTTATTCTTCTTTTCCTTTAATATAAAGAAACTAGTATTTTTAGCCACAGAAGTAATTATGTTGAAGGTGATAATCTACAGTTAGGCATGAATCAATTAGAGTTCTTTTGAAAGTTTCTCAATGAAATTTCCTAATCATAAATTGAAATTAAAAGCAATTCACGGGCCCCGCGCGATGGCGCAGTGGTTAAGGCCCTCGCCTTGCACGCCCGGGATCCCATATGGGCGCCGGTTCTAATCCCGGCAGCCCCACTTCCCTTCCAGCTCCCTGCCTGTGGCCCGGGAAAGCAGTCGAGGATGACCCAAAGCTTTGGGACCCTGCACCCGCATGGGAGACCCGGAAGAGGCCCCTGGCTTCGGATTGGCTCAGCTCCAGCCGTTGCGGCCGCCTGGGGAGTGAACCAGCGGACGGAAGATCTTCCTCTCTGTATATGCGCCTTTCCAATAAAAATAAAGTAACTCTTCCAAAAAAAAAAGTAATTCACACTTTTTAAATGCCTTTGTTTTTTAATCACTGTCTTAGGCTTTGGAGACAAGGCATAACTTGAAAAACTTCATGAATTAACACTCTTAATCCTATTCCAAGAGATGCAGGTTTACCCTACGCTAAACAACTGAGAGGTAAAGGCTGTGTGGTGGAACATTTTTCTTCATCCAAAAAAAAAAAAAAAAAAACCAAACTAATCTGGTTAGATAATGAAACATTCCTATGTTTCAACCTCAAAGTTTGATAGAAAAAGTGAGGTTTTTTTTAAATGACTTTCTGATCAGATACCATGTCTGAAAATGATTCATAATCGTCTCATCCCTTACCTTGCATGAACATATACCCTCATGGGTTCACAGTATAAGAAGATTGCAGAGGTCACTGTGGTTAAAAGGACTTGCAGGGAAAGGATGCTGTATACTTTTCTTAGAAAGGCTAAAAGAAAAAATATATATATGTTATTTATATTCTTTAACATTTACCTTCAAACAGCAAAATGAAATTCCTTAATCCAAATAATGTGACCTGCACTAATACTAGATAAAAAACTTCCAAAAGTAATTTAAAACTTTGTTAGGGATTTATTTTCCCAAGACAGCTTTAAAAATTAAGTTAATAGGCTGGAAGGTAAATGCTTTCTTATCAGAATAAAAGGAAATTATTAGGTTTCTACTTATACACAGAATATACATTAAAGCAAAAAATAAAAAATAAAACATTTTAAATAAATTTTTGTGTGCACCCTTAAAAGCAAACAGAAGGCGTACAGGTAGATATAAGAAGTTTTCATACATTCGGACCCGGCGCGGTGGCGCAAGTGGTTAAAGGTCCTCGCCTTGCACGCCCGGGATCCCATATGGGCGCCGGTTCTAATCCCGGCAGCCCCACTTCCCTTCCAGCTCCCTGCCTGTGGCCTGGGAAAGCAGTCGAGGACGGCCCAAGGCTTTGGGACCCTGCACCCGTGTGGGAGACCCGGAAGAGGCTCCTGGCTTCGGATAGGCATAGTATCGGCCGTTGCACTCACTTGGGGAGTGAATCATCGGACGGAAGATCTTCCTCTCTGTCTCTCCTCTCTGTATATCCGCCTTTCCAATGAAAAATAATAAAAATAAATCTTTAAAAAAAAAAAAGAAGTTTTCATACATTTAAAAATATTTTATTTTATGGACTGGTATGGTGGCGTAGCAAACTAAACTGCCACTTGTGGTGCCAGCATCCCAAATAGGCCCCAGTTCTAGTCCCAGGTGCTCCGTTCTGATCCAGCTCCCAGCTAATGGCTTGGGAAAGCAACAGAGGATGGTGTAAGTCTTTGGCCCCTGCAGCCATGTAGGAGAACTTGAGGAAGCTAATTGCTCCCAGCTTCTGACTGGCCAGGCTCTGGCCATTGAGTTCATTGGGGAGTGAACTTTCATTGATTTGAAAGAGAGGCAAACTCAGAGAGATCTCTGGACTGCTAACTCACCCCTTAAAGGCCTACAACAGCCAGTGGTGGGTATGCTGAAGCTGGTGGCCCAGAACTCCATCCAGCTCTCCCACAGGGTAGCAGGGTGCCAAGTCCTTAAGGATTCACCTGCTACCTCCCATGGCACACGTTGGCACTCAGTCGAAAGTAGTGGAGCCAGGACTCAAACCAGGCATTGCAGTGTGAGATACCACCTTCACTGCTTTGCCAAATACCTCTAAATATTTTTTTAAGTTTTCATTTCCATAATAGTAAAAGTGTTTCACCAAAATGAAACTTATCCTTAAAAAGCAAAGAAGATTTTCATTCAACTACTTTTTATGTCTCACAGTATCTGTGCCTCCAGTTACTATAGAATAGAAAATTCTCCCAGAATATCACCCACATCTGGAAATTAATGCCAAGGCTGAATAATTTTTACATATTTATTATCAAATAACACATAATTAATCATTTAAAATAATTATTAAAGCTTTCTGACGTACAGATGATATAAATAATAAAGTGACCTCCCAAAACCCATAATACCTTCAGAAATAAAGCATGAGTAACTGTTCTCACCTTCTTCTCTCTGTGCACACACTAACCACACATTCCTTCCCACACACTGTTAGCTAACTACTGCTTCTCCCTCAAAATTCGGCCTTGCTCAGTTCCCCAGCCTGAATGAGTTCTTCCTCCATGTTCTCAAAGGACCTTAAACATATCTCTGGCCACTTTAAACCAGTAAGCTGCTCTGGTCTTCATTCCATTAGGTCACAAAGTGTAGACGCTTCCTAATCCCAACAGGGAGCAAGATGTTTTTGTTTTTTTGTTGTTTTTTTTTTTTTTAATATTCACTTGGCACCCAGCCTAGTGGATGGCACAGATTAAAAAGTCATTAAACTTTATTTGGTTTTTAAAAAATTTATATTGGACTAATGAGTGGTAAATTTTGTTCAAAAGAAATTATGCTGAAGCAGAATACATGAGACACAAACAGAATAGTGTATTTAAGCAGACAGTAAAAGTTCCTAAAGTGTTTTTATCCAGTGAAAGAAAACATGACATTGTCTTTGGCCTATCCTAACTATATTCCTGGGGTAAGTGTTCCTTTGAAAGTCACTTCCGAAGTAAATCAGCAGTGCTCTGTCTCAGCAGGTACTGTGGCATAGTGCGTTAAGCCACCCCTTGGGGTGCCCACATCCAATGTCAGAGTGCCTGCCTGAGTCCAGCCTCTCTGCTCTTGCTTCTAAGTCAGCTTCCTGCTCATGCTTGCCAGGAGGCATGGACGCTTCAATTGTCTGAGTGTCCACCACCTACGTGGGAGATCAGGATTGAATTCTAAGCTTCCTGACCTCAGCCTGGCACAGTCCTGGTGGCTGTGGGCATGCGGAAGTAAACCAGTGGACGGCAATACACACTCTATTTCTCTGCCTTTGAAATAAGCAAATAAATCTTTTTTAAAAATATGCTACAAGCGACTTCATTTTTCAGAATTTGAAGCCTAAATCCCTGCCCTTCAGTACTGACTAGCTGAAGGGTTTGTTTCTAATAAACAGCATTTAGAAGATGTGATGTGTGATCTGCAAGGCTGGTCCTCAGAGGTGCTGCTGCAGCTCTTGCCTTGGTTCTTTGGGGAAACCCAGCTGCCATGTTATGAGGAAACTCAAGTCTCCACATGCAAAGATCCATTGTGTAAGGAACGAGCCGCCTGTCAAGAACAGGTGCATGACATTCTAGAAAGAGACCCTTCAGGGGGCCGCAGTTCTGACCAGTCTTCACTGGAATCCTCCAGAAACACCTTGTCGGCCTGCTCTCAGAGTCCTGACCTCCAGAGGGCTGAGACACTGCTTGGGCTACACTCCTGCTGTTTGTACAGACCTCAATCAAGCTTTGTGAATGAAGGAAAATGTCCACCTTCGCTCACATAACCAAAAACACGCAAATAGAAGGAAGATACCATATCTTATCTGCTGCAAGAGTCAGTAAACTGTGGCCCCTGGGCCCAAATTCAGCACACTTGCTGAATTTCTGCATAAAGTGTTTTTGGACCTCAGTCGCATCGCATTCACTCCTGTAACTGTACCCTCTAAGGGGATTTGTGCACAATGGCCAAGATAAGTTGAGACAGAGACCATATGGTTTACCAAGCTAAAAATACATAGCACTTGCCTTTTGTAAAGAATATCTGCTACCCTCTGATCTATCAGATTCCCAAAGTTAAAAAAAAGAGAGAGAGAGAGATGATACCCAATGTCAGTGAGAGTTAGAGAAAAGGTACTCTCATATAATGTATGCTTTGGAGAGTGAATACTGACATCAAAATACACACTTTCTTTTGACCCTGTAAAGTCACTTCTAAAAATCATCCAACAGCAATACTTGGAAAAACATGAAGATAAGGATGTTGTCTGAAGGACTGCTTGACTAAACACAAAGAAACCAAGGCAATAACCAGCAAGTGAGAATGGCTAAATAAATGTTTAGGTACATACTGTGGAAACTGCACTTTAAACATGAGAAACTATATTTGTTGGTATTCTTTTTTTTTAAGATTTATTTTTATTATTTTTTTATTGGAAAGGCGGATATACAGAGAGGAGAGACAGAGAGGAAGATCTTCCATCCGATGATTCACTCCCCAAGTGAGTGCAACGGCCGATACTATGCCTATCCGAAGCCAGGAGCCTCTTCCGGGTCTCCCACACGGGTGCAGGGTCCCAAAACCTTGGGCCGTCCTCGACTGCTTTCTCAGGCCACAGGCAGGGAGCTGGAAGGGAAGCGGGGCTGCCGGGATAGAACCGGTGCCCATATGGGATCCTGGGCATGCAAGGCGAGGACCTTTAACCACTTGCGCCACCGCGCCGGGCCCTGTTGGTATTCTTAAATCCAAGGTATAAGGACAGGTATTTGGCATAGTATTGGCATCCCCTATCGGTACTGCCTGGAGTCTTGGCTGCTCCACTTCCAGTCCCACTTCCTGCCTGGGAAAGCAACAGAAGATGGCTCAAGACATTGTGCCCTACATCCACATGGGAGACGCAGAAGAAGCTCCAGGCTCCTGGCTTTGGTCTGGCATAGTTATGGCTGTTGCAGTCTTTTGAGAGTGAACCAGTAGATGGAAGACCCCTCCTTCTGTCTCTCCTTTTCTCTCTGTAATTCTGCCTTTCAAATAAAGCTTTAAAAATGTAAAAACAGAATTACAATACAATGGTGTTGTTAGGGACACACTCAAAAAAGAATTAAGATGGGATTTAAAGAGACATTTGCACACCGATATTCATAAACATTCACCAAGAGAAACAAGCCATGCAAATATTTCACCTAGAGAGGAATGTCTAACCAAATCTGTCATGTACAAAAACATGTTATTTATCCTTAAACAGGAAATTTTGGCACATGCTACAACATGGATGCAACTTGAAGAAATGCTAATTGGAATAAGCCAATCATACAAGAAAGCAAATAACTTGTTTCACTTGCATCTTGAGAAGTCAAATCCACAGAGAGAAAAAGTTGGGGCTTGGGGAAGAAGGAATGGAGATTTGTTATTGAATGGATGTAGAATTTGACTTCACAAAATAAGAAAGTTTAGAGTGAGCCAGGCACCTGACTCAGCACTCAAGGCACCTGTGTCTTATCTCAGAGTACACGGGTCAGAGTCCAGCTCTTGGTCCTGTGGACATTTGGGGATTGAACCAGCAATGGGAGATGTCTCTGTCTTTCTCTGCCTTTCAAATAAATAAAAATAACTTTTAAAAACTGGAGATTGGAGGCACAACAATATGAATATATGTTAACATTACTGAACCCTGCACTTTAAAATGGTTAAAATTGGGGCCAGTGGTGTGGCATAGGTTAAGCTGCCACCTTTAGCACTGGCATTCCACATGGGCACCAGTTCCAGTTGCTCACTTCTGATCTAGCTCCTTGCTAGTATGCTGGGGAAATGGTGCAGGACAGCCACAGTGCTTGGGCCCCTGAACCCACATGGAGACAGGAAAGAAGCTCCTGGCTCCTGGCTCAGCCCTGGTGGTTACAGCCAACTGGGAGTAAACCAATGAATGAAGACCTCTATTTATTCCTCCGTCTGTAACTCTGGTTTTCAAATAAATAAACCTTTGGAAATTTGTTAAAATGATACATTTTTTGTTATATGTATTTTACCACTTGGGAACAGTGCTTTGGCATAGCATGCTAAGCCTCCACCTGCAACACCTGCATCCCATTTGAGCACCAGTTCAAATTCTGACTCCCTGGTAGTGTGCCTGGGAAAGCAGTGGAAGATGCCCCAACTCCCTGGGACCCTGTAACCATGTGGGAGACCTGCAAGAAGCTCCTGGCTTCCTTCACCTCAGCTCCAGGTGCAGCCATCTGGGGAGTGAGCCAGCGAATAGAAAATCTCTCTTCTTCTGTAATTCTGCCTTTCAAAGAAATAAACAAACTGTATATTTTTTTAAAGAGCTGAGCTTACTTGACAAATAATTTCAGAATTCAGTTTCATCAATACTGATGGTAGGCATCGAGTTTTTTGTTGTTTGTTTAAGATTTATTTATTTTACTTGGAACAGAGTTGCAGAGAGGGAGAGAGAGATTTTCCATTCGCTGGTTTATTCCCAAAGTGGCCGCAAAGCTGAGCTGATCCGACGCCAGGAGCCGGGAGCTTCTTCCGGGTTTCCCATCTGTGTGGCAGGGCCAAAGGCCTCGGGCCACCGCCCACTGCTCTCCCAGCCATTAACAAGGATCGGGATGGGGAAGTAGAGGAGTGGGACATGAACCAGCACCCACATGGGATGCTGGCGCTGCAGACAGAGGTTTAGTCTGTTAACAACATAGCAGTGCCCCCCACCCCCAAGCTGCTTAAGGTATCAGAACGATCATTACAATTCCATTTCCAGAACCAATGCCAAATGCCACAGAAACTGAAAATAATCAAACAGCTGAAGAAGTGTGGGTAATGAATTACCCTGGCAAAAACGCCACCGTCGTTCTTAGGAACTGCACAAGAATCTGTGACATGAAATCCTGACTGGGGAAGCTTCCAGGTCCAGCCCACGCCTCCGTGCACAGGATGGATGGAAGCCGCTGCTCCTTCACGGAGCTCACGGCGGGCGCCCCGCAGACAAAACGACCTGGATCCCAAAAGAGCGGGCGGGCGACCCCCGGACGCGCACAACGACCACAGCCCGCACTTGACTTCCAACACAAACCTAACTTCTTGCCCGGTCCCTTCCTGGCGTCCGGAGAGGCGCTCTCCGCAGCCGTCCTCCCTGCGCCCGGGTGGACAGAGGGGACAGGGCGGCCGGCGGGGAGCCCTCCCTGCACCTGCACAGGCCTGAGGCGCGGCCGGCCGCCACCTACCCATCCGGATGTGCAAGCTGGCAGAGGCCACGCAGCTGCCGTAGTTGAAGTCATCCTCGATCGAGGAGCGCGGGTAGCGGGGGTCCGGGTCGGCCATGTCGGCAGCAGGACCCACACCCGTCCTGGCCGCGGACAGAGAAAACCACTGACCACAACGGCCTTCAACGCACTTCCGGGGTGAAGCCGTCCAGCCCAAACTAGCTGATCTGCCTCGGCGGAGCGAACCCCGAGCTAGTCGATTACTTCACTCTGCCCAGGAAGAAGGTGAAGATAGGAGACAAAACGGGTGGTTACTTCCAGCGTCATCTAAAGTGAAACTTTCTCCAGGTTTTGTCAGTAATGTTCTAAACCCTCTCAAGGGGAGAGCTGCTCAAAGTGACTGTCCCATTCATCTATCCGTCCAACGAATGCATATCTCAACCATCAGTTTTTCAATATAATATACTTTTGATTCTACTGGTTATAAAAATTTCAAAAATTCCTACATTTGTTGAGCACTTCCCAGGAGCTAAGCTTTATGAATGAAGGAATGCCACATCCTGGAAGGCAAACGGGAGCCTCCCCAGACATGAGTGGCGTGCAGTGGATAGGTTCCCAACCACAGCATCTGCAGCGGCAGAACAGAATTCTCGTGGCCAGGAAAGAGGCTGGATGGATAAGCCAAGGTCGGATAGCCAATCCGATCCTGGGGAAAGTGTGATCAAAAGCGTGGAAGAGCGGATACGGAGTCCATCTTAGAGATGGCTGATTGTGGCAAATACAGTGTCTCCAGGAGAATATTTGAGACATTGTTGTCTTTCCAATACAAAGATGAGCTGTAGACTTCACAGGGTCGTATCCTCCTGGGACCCTGGGGAGTGCTTCAGTCCATTTTCTTTGATCCATCACGCGGCCTCGTCCTGACTTTCATCATCGTACCTAAAACACTTGGCAAGTGAAACGCAGTAGTTGTGGTACAGTCTGTTCTGGACCTAAATCCTCAAACTGGATGCTAACAGAAACTTTTTTGAAAAAATCAACTTGGTTTTCATAACGACATGAACAAAACTCTTTCTCTTTTAAAATGTTGCAAATATAAACATATTATTCATTTTAATACAAAGCCATAATAATAGAATCTATTCTAGAAGATAATATGAGGATGAACTGGGAGCTAATCTTTTTATTGACTGAAGACAGCATTAATATAACTTAATCTGCCACCTCTTAGTAATTACAAAACTGAATTCCAGCTGGATTATGGATCTAAATGTGAAAGGCAAAACAATAAAACGTGAAGAAAATGATAAGCATCTCTAAAATTTGGAGGAAGGCAAAGTCTTCTGAAACAAGGTAAAAAATAGAACTAACCTTGAAGGAAAAGACTGAGAAATTAAAAGAGCAAATTTATTTCATACACAACATGGATGAACTATACAACATAATGCTGAATCGAAGAAGCCCCAAAAAATTATATACACATGTACATTATTATATACAAATACAATCACACGCATACACATGCGTGCGTCTGTATGTGCTGATATGCACATGTGAGTACATATACACGCACATGTGTGTGAACGTGCATACACATGTGTGTATATGTGTGTAGGTTGTTCATAGTGTAATATGTAAGTATATATATATGTATAGGACATTGTGTTTGAAGAGCAAACCAACTGATCAGAAGATTATTCTCTGTGGAGAAGGGAGGATCATTGGGAGGGGACACTTAAAAGAACTTTCAGAATCTGACAATGTACTGTTTCCTGCTAACGATATTTTCTTTACTATGTGATGTTTATACTTAGAGTTGATATGCTATGCTGTATATTACCCTTATAATTTTAGAGTTTTAAAACTTTTTAAAATTTTTATTTATTTTTATTGAAAAGGCAAATTTAGAGTGAGAAGGAGAAACAGAGAAAGATATTTCATCTGCTGGTCCATGCCCCAAATGACTGCAGTGGCCAGCGTTGAGCCATTCCAAAGCCAGGTGCCAGGAACTTCCACCAGGCCTCCCACGTGGGTACAGGGTCCCAAGAACTTTCCCACTGCTTTCCCAGGTCACAAGCAGGGAGCTAGGTGGGAAATAGAACAACTGGGACACAAATCAGCACCCATATGGGATCCTCACGCGTGGAGGTAGAGGATTAGCTGGTTAAGTCCATGTGCCTGCCCCTAGAACTGTTTTTTCAAAAGTGAAAAAAAATAAACCTCTCTCTCTGTTAAGAATGTTGTAATGTTGTTATCTTATAACCATTAGCCGTATACTTACAGATGTGGAATTTAACAACTCCTGTGTTGTTCCTCATTTCTTTTAAAACTTTTACAAGTCTCTGTAATTTTTTAAAAAGATTTGTTTTATTCTTTTTGCAAAGTCAGCTATACAGAGAGGAGGAGAGATGGAGAGCAAGACCTTCCATCCGTTGATTTACTCCTCAAGTGGCCACGATGCTGGAGCTGAGCCAATCCAAAGCCAGGAGCCCAGAGCCTCCTGCCGGTCTCCTACATGGGTACAGGGTCCCAAGGCTTTGGGCCGTCCTCGACTGCTCTCCCAGGCCACAAGCAGGGAGCTAGATGGGAAGCGGGGCTGCCAGGATTAGAACCGGCACCCATATGGGATCCCGGTGCGTTCAAGGTGAAGATTTCAGCTGCTGGGCTACCACACCAGGCCCAATTCTTCGTAATTCTTGGTAAATGAAATTGCTTAGTCAAAGTAATGGTGGTTTTGAGGACTTATCTTTTCCTTCCAACCATCTCTTTATCTTTCTCCCATTCTTTTTGTCTAATGTCTTCATTTAAAAATCCTACCATATATATTTTCTATTCTCAGACCACAATTCTGCTGTTATTCCTGTCTCCAATTCTAAATGTCCTTCTTTTTATAAGATCCTTCCTCTTACAAGGAAATTCCAAATTTCTTTCTTCTTACAAGGATACTAGTCATTGTTTTAGGATCTTAACTGTGTCTGCAAATGAAGCTTATCCTCAAGGGTGCTGAAGGTTGGGACTTAAATCTATTTGGGGAGTCACGATTCAACCTACAACACAGAAAAAGTGAATTTTCAATTGAGTCTTAAAAGATAATTAAGGGTTCACCAGTTGGAAGATACCACAGAAATCCAAGCATGAAGAAATTAACATTGCCATATTAGGAAAGACCAGGCACATATGAAAGACATTAAGAAGAACAAGAGTTAGTGACTAACTAGAAACAGCCATTTGCACAATGGCTGGTACAGGGAGGGCTCAGAAAAACCCTCCTGAATATAGTAACCACTTAGGAGAATTCAGATCGCCTTGGCCGATGTGACCGGCAACAAGGAAGTCGATTTTCTAGGAAAGGATCAGTTTTGGGCATATTGACTTGAGATGCACACAAGAAATCTGAGTAGAATTATTCATTAAGTACTGGAGACAGGAACTTAAAAGAGAATCTGTAAGGAAAGTTGGAACTGAGAATGCAGTGAAGGGAGAGCTCCACCTGGAGATAATAGATATGTGTTCTCATTCAAATTGGAGGCGTGTGAAGGAGAAAGGATCTGAATGAGATACAATTGTATCAAGCCATATAGTATTGGGGAAAGGCAGGCTTAATTTTAAACTTTTAAAAATATATATTTTTTAAAAATGTATTTGTAAGGCAGAGTGACACATACACAGAGAGAGACAGAGACAGAGAAAAGGTCTTTACTGCATTGGTTCATTCATTCCTCGAGTGGTCTCAGTGACCAGGGATGGGTGAGACCAAAGCCAGCGTGCTGGAACTCCATCTGGATTTCCCATGTGGGTGCCAACGGCTCAAACACCGGTCCTATTTTCCATTGCATTTCTGAGTACGTTAGCAGGGAGCTGGATTGGAAATGGAATAGCCAGGACTCAGATACTCCAAAATGTAAATGTCAGCTTAATCTACTGTGCCACAACACTGGCCCCAAGCATTTGCCTTTCACTGGCTGAATTTAGTAGACATTTCTAGCTTCTGATTAAGGGAGAGAAATAATCAAATGTGATTTGAAACAGTCAATATGGTAATAATATTGGAAAAAAGTCTGTAGGAAGCAAGAGTGTAAGCTACTCATGGGAATGGATATGATGGTGACTCGAGCCAGAATGGCAGTATTAAATTTGGAGGAAAGTGGTCAGATTCTGGATGTGCAGCATGAGCGACTTCAATAGATTTATGGGAAAATTGAAATAAAAACATTTCCTTTTGGTTGGTGCCCCATTTTTTTTTTTTTTTGAACTCATACTTAGTGTTTTTACAGAGCTAATTTTCCTGGCTTTGACATAGCTCTTAAACCTTTTTGTTTAAGGTAGGAAAAATAAGATCATACTTGTATGTTGATATGATTGAGTGAGTACAGAGTGAAAAATAAAGTAGCAGAGAACCCAGAAAATAGCTGCTCTGAACACTGTTGAGTAAGGGGCAAGGGACAGTATCTAGCACGCAGGGAATGAATGGACTTAGATAGTAGTTTAAACAACTCTAGAAAACAAGAAGCAAAGGCACACCGGTGCAGGTGCTAGTGGGTAGGAAGACATGGTAATGAGATTCTGCAATTTTTTTCTGATGCATCAGTATTCTCAAAAAACATTCATAATCTTAGGGTTATTAGCTGAGCAACAAGATATGGGAGTTGAGAAGAAAAGAGAAAGCAAAAATAGTTTTCAAGGAGACCAAAGTGTACCAAAAACACATGATATAATTGGCTAGCACCATAAAAGGACTTACTTGAGAAACATGGCCTTCATTTTACACTGAATCCAATCAATGGGATTATTTTTCTTTCCAGCTACACTCAGATGTATGTGTATAGAGCTAAAAACTTGAAAATTGGATTTCAACAGGATGTTATTTTTTTAAAAGATTTATTTATTTTATTGGAAAGACATTACAGAGAGCAGGAGATACAGAGAGAAAGATTTTCCAACTATTGGTTCACTGCCCAAGTGGCTGCAATGGCCAGAGCCGAGCCAGTCTGAAGGCAGGAACCAGAAGCCTCCTCCAGGTCTCCCACACAAGGGCAGGGTCTCAAGCCTTTGGGTCATTCTCTACTGCTTTCCCAGGCCACAAGTAGGGAGCTGGATGGGAAGTGGAGCAGCTGGGACAAACCAGCACCCATATGGAATCTCAGCACATGCAATGTAAGGATTTAGTCACCAGGCTATCACATTGAGCTCAGCATGCTATGTTTTACAACAGAATTCAACATAGAGAAAGAGAATTAAGAAAACAAAGGCAACGATGGTAATAATTGACTGTTGCCTGTATGAATGAGAAAAGTGAGAGTTGGGGGAGAGAAGGGGCCAGGGAATAGGCAGCAAGATTTTGGATTAGATCCTTAGGTGAAGGGAGGATTGTTGGAGTAAGAGAGTGGACTCATTAAGTTGAAATAGAAGGGGTCTGGTACAATAACTCATTGGCTAATCCTCCCCTTGCAAACGCTGGGTTCCCATATGGGTACTGGTTCATGTCCCGGCTCATCTAGCTCTTTGCTTGTAGTCTGGAAAAGCTATAGAAAATGGTCCAAGTCCATGGGAGCCTGCACCCATGTGGGAGACCTGGGGGAACTCCTGGTTCCTGGCTTTGTAATGGCTCATCTCTGGCAGTTGTGGCCATTTGGGGAGTAATCCAATGGGTGGATTAACATTTTAAAAGTTAAATTTAAAAAATAGATCTTTTAACATAGAACGGATATAGTTATTAATATTTCTAAGTTCTAGGAGATAATTGTGTAAGTAGATGGAAAGTCAGAGAGAAAGATCTTCCATCCACTGGTTCACTCCCCAAGTGGATGCAACAGCCAGAGCTGAGCCAATCCGAGCAGCTTCTTCCAGGTCTCCCAAATGAGTGCAGGGTCCCAAGTCTTTGGACCATGCTCCAGTGCTTTCCCAGGCCACAAGCAGGGAACTGGAAGGGAAGTGGAGCAGCCGGGACATGAACCAGCCCCCATATGGGATCCTGGTTCATGCAAGTCGAGGGCTTTAGCTACTAGGCTACCGTGCTGGGCCTCCAAATCTGATTTTTACATAAAATCATTGTGCCTCGGTAGATTCAAACATCCAGAGAATTGGACCTTACTGTTCCCTTCATTCACAGTGGTTCCCTGGTTCTCTGTGTGTCTGAGTTTGCTCCTTCTGTTCTTGCAAGAGTTGCTCAGTGCTTGATCACCTCTTGCCTTAGTCGCTCACCTTCTTCAGGCAGTCCCTGTTAGAAGTGTGGAGCTGTGTGATACACAGTGACTGGCAGCGGGACCTCAGTCATTCTGGGACGCACACAGGAGCAAGCTCTCGCTCTTCCTGCCTGAGAATACAGCGGCTACTGTGAGCAGGCAGGAATGCTTTCACTCTGTAGTGGTTTCAAAAGTCACGAATGGGAGGTGACCAAGGATGACAAGGTCCCCCTGAAGGAGTTCTGTACTACGGCTTCTCTAGGTCACAATTCCCCCGCTGATGAGGGTGAGGGGAAAGGGTGGGAGTAGCTGGAAGGAACTGTATAATAAAAAATAAAGAATTTAAAATAAGCAACAACAACAAAAATTCCCCAACTGATTAAGGGCGCAGGGAACCTCCCATCCCCCTGATGGTCTCCAGATGTGCCAAAATCTGGAATATTAAGGTAGACTTTCAAGCAAAGGCAAAAACAAAGGAAAAAATACTTCAGTCACTGAACAAAAAGATAGCAAAGCTTTTCTCCCAAAAACATTGGCTCCACCAATTTTCAAGAATATTTTTGTGGAATACCTTTGCTAAGAACCTCTCTTTTGGAAATTCAGGTAGAGGAGCCAAACTAGAGTGTAGCACCACTGTTGATCTCTAGGGAGCGCTATTCCCAAAGAATACAACTGCAAAGGTCCCAAACAGGGGCTGGAACTTCTCAACTGACCGCTGCTGTCCACTCTTCCAGTCTTTTTTTTTTTTTAAAGATTTATTTTTATTATTATTTTTTCATTGGAAAGGCGGATATACAGAGAGGAGAGACAGAGAGGAAGATCTTCCATCCGATGATTCACTCCCCAAGTGAGCGCAACGGGCCGATACTATGCCGATCCGAAGCCAGGAGCCTCTTGCGGGTCTCCCACGCGGGCGCAGGTTCCCAAAGCTTTGGGCCGTCCTCGACTGCCTTCCCAGGCCACAGGCAGGGAGCTGGAAGGGAAGCGGGGCTGCCGGGATTAGAACCGGCGCCCATATGGGATCCCGGGCGTGCAAGGCGAGGACCTTTAACCACTTGCGCCACCGCACCGGGCCCGACTCTTCCAGTCTTGAGGGTTGGGATTTTTCTCACCTCTTTGGAAGCATCTCATTCAAACAAACAAACAAACAAACAAACAAAAAATACACAACTTTTTTTTTTTAATTGGAAGGCAGAGTTACAGAGAGAGAAAGAATGGTTTTCCACCCACTACTTCTCTCCCCAAATGGCTGCAACAATGGGAGCTGAGGTGATCCAAAGCCAGGATCCAGGAACTTCTTGGTCTCCCTCCTAGGTGCAGGACCCCAAGGACTTGGCCCAACCTCCACTTGGCCCTTCCCACGCTATTAGCAGGGAATTAGACCAGTGCCCATATGGGATTCTGGCCAGGAGGGGTGGGGAGGGAGACTCCTGGAAGCATCTCACATTACAATTTAACTTATTATTTAAATTGAGGGGCGCCCATCTCCTGGCTTACTCCTAGCCAGATGCCCTCGTTGGCCAGGACTAGGCAGAGGTAAAGCCAGGAATTCAGTCCAGGTCTCCCAGGAGAGAGGCAAGGGACCCATTACTGCGGCTTCCTAGGGTCTGCATGAGCACGAAGCTGGAGTCGGGAGAGGCAAGACTAGAATCCTGGTTACCAGCATGTGGGATGAGGGCATCCCTCACCATGAGACCAAGTGCTAGTATTTGCACCATGCCTACCATGCAGGGTTACAGCATAAACTGCTGATGATTCAAAAACAGCTTCACTGAAACTCCTTGTTGAACGACAGCGGAAGAGTCTGTGAGGTGATTTGAGGAAGGAAAATGTGATATAACACCATTTCATCACGATAGCCCCGGAGGAAACATAAGCAATAAAGCCGGAGCAGAGGGGAGGAGGGATTGCCCAGAGGAGAAAGGGAATTTTACTCTCATGTGGCTGAGCGCTCCTGCTTTGCCACAACTGACAGCTATGCTTGTCATTTCCCACGGGTACACCACGTAGGTACGCTTTCAAGTTTAAATTCCATAAAAGCAGGGAGGAAAGTGCACTACAACGTGTAGGCTGGTGATCGTCCTCTCTCTTTTCCGCTTATCTGTGTTTCCCAACTGCGGGTAAAACAAATTGAAGCATCCAGGGCACATCACGGCCAGGGTAAGGGGGTGGCAGGTTCTCCCCGGGTTCTGCACTTGGGGGCTCTCTCCAGCTTTGCTGTCTCCTCAGACGTCACCCCACATCTAGAGCTATGGAGACCTGTTGATCACCGAGAGCCCCCCAAAAAGGGCGAGCCAAAGGCAGGCAGACCCCATCGCCATCGCGGCGGCGGGCCGGCATCCTTCAGCTGCATCTGAAGCAAGCCGCGCTCTGCGTCATGTGGGGCCCGCCCCTTCGAGGGCGCGGGCATGGTGTGTTCCGAGGGCTCGGCCGCCGAGGTGGGAGCCAGACTTCCGCGGTTGGCTAACGGCGCCTCGCGGGCCGGCGGACGGGCGTGGGGGAGAGGCCCGGGTGTCCGGCGGCCGAGCCATGGCGGCGCGCGACGGGGCCCGCGGCGCACTGTCACCGCACACGCCGCTCTTTGACATGCCGCCCACGCTGCTGGGCGAACTGTGCGCCATCCTGGACAGCTGCGACGGCGCGCTGGGCTGGCGCGGCCTGGGTGAGTGCGGCCTGGGCGGCGGGGCGGCGGGGCCGCGGGGAAGCAGCGCGGGGAAGCAGCGCGTCCTGCAGGCCCGCTGGGCGCCGCCCTGGACGCCGCCCTGGACCGCCTGGGCGCCGGGCGCTGAGGCAGCTTGCGGTGAGCGGAACTGCCCTGCCCTCGGCCTGGGGAAGACCCAGATATTCCCAAGGATCCCGACGTGAGCGCCCCCCTCTTTTCTCTTTCAGAGAAACCTGTGAGTCTCCCTGCAGGACTGTCTAGTGAGACGGGGCTTGAGTAAGACAAACCCAATATGAAGCCTCGTCTGAGGTTTACCTGGTGCTGCTGGCTTGCCGGGTTCACAAGCTCCAAGTGGGACAAGTTTGTGCTTGTTAAGCACGGGTGTTTGGAGTTAAAGTTGATAACCCATGATGTAACATTTAAACAACTCAGTTCTAATTGTCTGAAATAGTGATCTTTCTTACGGAGGAGGAAGTTTTCTTTGTTGTTGATAAACACTATAGCCACTCCTCATGGGATTGTGGCATGGGGCTCCAGGTTACTTCTGTTTTGAAGATTTATTTATTTGTCCTTTGATTTGAAAGGCAGTGTGTGTGTGTGAGAGAGAGAGAGAGAGAGAGAGAGAGAGGTGTGGAGAGAGAGGTGTGGAGAGGATATGTGTGTGTCTTCCATCCACTGGTTCATTCCCCAACGCCCACAGCAGCCAGGACTTGGCCAGGATGAAGGCAGGAGCCGGGAACTCCAGCCAGGTCTCCTGCTTGGGTAGCTGGGGCTCACACACATGGACCGTCTTCCTTTGCTTTCCCATCCCAGGTGCATCAACAGTGAGATCAGAAACTGAGCAGCTGGGATTCGACTCTGATATGAGACCCTGGAATTCCCAAAAGTGGCCTAAGCATGTGAGCCACCCGCCATGAGCGCTAGTAACATAAAAAAGGTCATATTTTACATTCCGTATTGTGAAATTGTAGCCCCGAAGTAAGAAATCTCAGAGACGTGTACTTTACTCTGTTTTCTGGACAACGTAAATTTCTAGCATACATTTAATTGATAAGACCCTCTCCCCCCCCATTCACCAGATCTCTCTCAGGTGGATTGGAGCATGGTCTGCATTTGTACCTGTATATTTCTTAAAATTACTACATTTTGTGAAAGGAAAAGTTTTATGATGATGCATGGTTTGATTGGAGCTAGGTAGGTATTGTCACTGTGTGAAGCATGCTGGTGGAGAGGGTGAAAATAGAACATTTCTGTCACCTGAAAGGGACAGAGCACCAGTCGGTCTAGTAGTTGTGAGGCCCATATCCCATAGTTGGCTTGGAGTGCTCGCTCTAGCTCCCCAGTCCAGCTTCCTGCCAATGCAGAGCCCAGAAGGCAGCAGGTGCTGGCTCCAGTGCCTCAGTCCTGTTCACCCAGGTGGAGAGTCCTGGCTTGAGTATCTGGCTCCTCACTGCAGCCTGGTGCAGCTACAGCTGTGGCAAGCATTTGGGTAGTAAAGAAATGAATGGAAGATCTCTCTCCACGTTCTTCTCTGTTTGGGAATGAAATCACATGGCTTATCTCGTAAGACTCTTACCATCCTGTGCAAGTTAGGTGCTGGTATTGCTACCCACCTTTGAATAAGTTAGGAGGCTATTACATATAGTTAAAGAACTTGCTCATGTTCACACTGCTGGGAATGGCAGCACCAGCACTTGAATCACAGCAATTCAAACCCATTTGAACATTCCCCTCACTGTTGTGTCCTATTTTGCTGCTCCTCAGAGCCTCAGTGAAATACAGCCACCTCTAGCCACCTTGTTTTCCTAGTTGTGGAAATCAGCGAAGACCACGTAAATGCGAAGAAGCAAAGGCTGTTTTTTCAAAGCTGGAGGGTTAGCCGTCATTTCTGAACATTTGACAGATTCAGAAGGTAGGCAGAGGAGTGGCAGGGCTTTGGGTGTTTGGGTATATATAATTGCAGATTGTTGGCATGGTAAGTGGGTTAACTAGAAGTAGACAATCCTGTGTAATTGTTTAGTGCTTATGTGCTTGGCCCTAAGTTGGAAGTTGACAGGTTAATTTAAAATTAAGAAAGCTGTCAGTTATTAATCAACTCCTGATGATTCAGGGCCAGTTGCTGCTGGGATTACTATTTGGCTTTCTGGACTTGTCACGTACATGTAGCAGTTTGGCTTCTTAGGTGGGTTATTGTAGAAAGTAGGTTAGCTTCATGGGCTAGTCAGTGGGTATTATAACCAGAGTTTTCTTTTTTTATAGGTGGTCTGCCCATTGTCCTCTTCCGTGTTGATTTTTATTGATTGTACAGGAAGCTCTACCTACTGACTTCTTCTCAGTAGGTACAAACTGCTTCACAGATTGTTGGTTCACCAGGAAGAGAAGGCTGACCCAGTGTGGAGATCAACTGCCTGTGTTAAAATGTTGAATTTGCCTGTGGGTCTAGGGAAGGGATGCAGAAAAGGAAAACCTTTGATGAGAGAGGAGTGATAGAGAACTGAGCCAAAGAGACAGGCCCTTCTGTGCTTGGGACAGCTGGGCGCCTGAGAGTACATAGGGTCCACACTTCCAAATAAAAAACAACTGTAATGGTTATAGGCATGACTGTCGGAGGCTGATGGTGATTCCTGGTGATGTTGCGTATCAGGCTACGTTTACAAACGAAACTCAGACTGAGGCATATCATATAGCAGACTTCATTATACGGTCAGTGTGTGGGGGATAATGTAAGCCAGTTCTTCATAAACTGGAATCACCTGTACAATTGCTCTTTATTAAAATGTTTAGATTATTTGTTTGAAACGCAGAGGGAGAGAGAGAGATCTTCTATCCATTGATTTACTCCTCAGATGCCCACAACACCTGGGAGTAGGCCAACCCCAAAGCCAGGAGCTAGAGAATTTAGTGTTTGAGCCATGATCCGGTGTCTCACAGTATCCGCATCAGTAGGAATCTGGATCAGAAGTGGAGCCAGGACTCGAACCCAGGACTCGGATGGGATGCTGGTGTCCCTGGTGGCATGTTAACTGCTGCACCAGTTGCCCACCCCTATGCAGTCTTTTAAATGTACAAGTGCCCATGCCCCAGGTCTGGAGCTTCTGAGTTAGTCAGTCTTGGCCAGTGTTTGGCATCTTTGATTTTCTGCTAAGCTCTCCAAGTGAATGTGATTCTCAACTTGATTTGGGAACTGTCAGTTGAATCAAATCTCCTTCTTCTTAGTATCTGCATAGTGTAGTCCTTTTACTACATTCTTTTCACTACTTGATTCTTTTTGCCATTAAACATATTCTGCATATTACTCTTCAGATAGTTTTTGCCAAGTCTGTTAGTAAAAAATGTGTTATCTCCACAGGTAGGGTATCCTGTTGGCTTTATGGCTTTATAGTGAAAGCAGGAACCCAAACTGGAAAACATTATTTACTTTATACACATGATTAAGTACACACACAATCTCTGTTGATAACTCATTTCATTATGTTACCATAGATTGATGATATGTATTCAAATTACACTGGAGTGAGTCACCCTGTGTAACGTTTATGCTGAGTGAGAAACCTTTTTTACGGACGCTGTGCCATAGACCAGATGCAATTTTCTTCCTCTAAAAAAATGGAATGGAAATTGTTATATAAATTACAAGTTGTTTTAAAACGAAATCACACTAAATGTGCATTTGTACATCCAATACTGTTTAAAATGATAACAATAATTAATAATAACCACCCCCTCTTGAGTGCCTGTTTGTCAGATGCTGTGAATTACACGAGTGATATTATTTACTTATCACAACAACTCAGTGAGTCAATTACTCTTTTTATTTATATTTTATAGATAGAGGCACTGATCAGAGAGATTTTAAATAATTTGCCTTAAGTCACAGTCTACTAAATGACTGACTAGGAATATGAGTAAATGGTTAGACTCCAAGGCCTGTGTTGTGTTAAGTATTTTACATTTAAAAATTTGAATTTAAATTTTATTTTATTTTTTTAAAGATTTATTTATTTTTATTGGAAAGTCAGATAGAGAGGAAGAAAGATAGAGAGGAAGATTGTCCATTCAATAGTCCACTCCCCAAGCAGCCACAATAACCGGAGCTGAGCCAGTCCGAAGCCAGGAGCCTAGAGCCTCTTTCCTCCAGATCTCCCACGTGGGTGCAGGGTCCCAAGGCTTTGGGCCGTCCTCAACTGCTTTCCCAGGCCACAAGCAGGGAGCTGGATGGGAATTGGGACTGCTGGGATTAGAACCGGGGCCCCATGTGGGATCCCGGCACATGCAAGGCTAGCACTTTAGCCACTGAGCTACCATGCTGGGCCCTAAATTTTATTTTTTAAATAATTATTTATTTTACTTGAAAGTTGGAATTGGAGAGAGAGAGGGAGGGAGGGAGAAACAGAGAAAGAGAAATCTTTCATCTGTTTAATTGATTCTCCCAAATGGCCACCTTGGCTGCCACTGAGTTGATCCAAATTTGGTAGCCAACATCTTCCTCAGGGTTTCCCATGTGAATGCAGAGGTCTAAAGCCTTGGGTCGTGCTCTAGTGCTTTCCCAGGCCATTAGGAGGGAGCTGGAAGTGGAGCAGCTAGGACTTGAACTGGCACCCATATGGGATGCTGGCGCTGCAGATAGATGATTAGCCTACTTAAGCACTGCACTAGGCCCAGCATTTTATATTTTAAGTGATATTTACTTCTTAGAAGTGTTTTAAGTTTACTGAAAAATTCAGAAAGTAGAACTGTCTTCTCTACAGCTGATGCTGCTAATGAGACAGACACAAGATAAAGACTAGGAAAGCAGGTAGACAGAGGGGAGCCCCTTCTCTGAGGAAAGAGGTCAAGCTAGAAGGCTCACCACCACAGTATTTTATTGACTTGCTAGGGGAGTCAAATTACAGTAGTTGATGAGCTCGGGTCCTTGATAACTTTGTCCCATATGGATGTTAAGAAGCCAGTGCTGGATGATCAGGAAGCAACAGTGTGACCCAAGTATTCAAGTTAATGCA